TCTTTTTAAAAAAATAGAACAAGCCATCACAATGAAAAAAAAACACAATACAGAGGAGAAAAGACTATTTTCTTTCTAGCAAGTCTTGTTTCTTTCTTCGGTAAATCTACTTCAATTTAAAGTGTCTGGTTGAAGGGCCATTTGACTTGTGTTTGTGTTGTAGGGCTTTCTCTAGCTTCATTAAACACAGCACTTTTCTAAAGGCAAAGCAATCAGTCAGTGAAAAGGATATTACATATTTTATTCTGCTGCAACTCAGATCTCAGATCTTTTTTTTGTTAGATTTATTTTTTTTCCAAGGCCATACACAGCACAATATAATCATAGGCAGAGGCAGAAATCCCAAGTCGCTATTTCCAAAGACATGGTGGATCCTAACAGGATAAACAGATTGGATTGTGAGTTAAGCTCTCCTGTAATGAATAGGATGGCTGTAGATTTCTGCTACACACGCAGACAAATGACCCTTAACTGGGACAGGATTTCTTAGTTTCACCTATACAGTGCTTCTGATCCATAACAGGAGATGTCTGGTGAACACAAAACATGCACAATTTATTTCCTGGCCTTAGAATACTTCCCTGAATAATGAGATAGGTTGACTTTATTCTAAAAGATTCAAATCCGGACATGGCTATGATGATTTGGGGTATTTTAGACTTCTAGTGAATGAAGGTGGAACACTGCCGTGTTGATGGCACAGAAATGTATCACCCTTTTCTGTGACAAGGTGGTGTATTCACAGGTTGCTTTATCTTTCTTGTTATTCCACATTTCTATTTGCACAGGCAAAATAAGTCCTGCTTAGCTCTCCTGGTGCTGCCTGTTACTGACCAATTAAAACCTTCTGCTGCCCTGCCACTATATCTACAGGCTACAGCCTTTGTAACAGACACAAACTGAAGGCTCTGTTCTGAATGTTCTAAACAGCCAATGGAAAATTGTAGTACACTGTACACTGTAACAAAGAAGAGAAAAAAGCATTGGTAGGTACTGTCTATATGAAAGTGAATATCCAAGACTTAAGATTGTTATTATTTTTGTAAAGTCAAGCAAGATCTACGCTAGATCTCAAATAACTTTCACTGCAATGGACTCCTAAAGCAATTGTCATACTGGTTATATCCACAAGTGTGGAACTAGGCTTTCAAGAAACCAGAGTTGAACAGTCCCCAGCTGAATTTAATTTAAGTCTTTGAGGGAATAAGTCACTCAAAACAACAGTTTAATTGAGGGATGCACCAGCACACAAAAAAACACTTTTCAGTATTTTTCATTGAGCATAGGCTTCCGTTATTTGGAACCATTTTGACATTTTAATGTTTTGCTATACAATTATTTTAAAACCAGACCCAAGAAAAAGGGAAGTTGTTTTACTTGTGCATTTTAAGATTCCAGCTGTGTTCTTCTTAGGCTTTGAACATTATTTTCCTATAGAAGGCAGTCTCCTCTGGTAATATCATAGATGGAATGGGACTTTTTTATTCAGTAGAACCAAAACTGGCCTCTAGAACCTACCAGTTTGAAATCCAGCAGCTGATGTACTACAATATCTTTACAATTACAGTATGTCCCAGAGCTTTGCCATAAAATTTGAGCACTGGGAAATGCAAGAGATAAAAGGATTAGCACAAAATAGAGCAGTCTCAGACACACAGTTGTCTAGTAGCTTCTCCTCATGCATAAAATAGGACCTGAAGCAGATGCAATCAGTGCTGCAGTACTGTGTAAAAATTAATCAATCAAATCTTTTTGGAGTGTTTTCAATATAGGGTCTTTCAATGTAGACCCCTGGCCTATACTAATCTATTTTTCTTTGTACAAAATCTGCAATCAATATGACAGGAACTGCTATTCTCAAGGGATTTTGTTATAAGTGCCTGATGTTATTGACTGAAAACAGATATCAGTTTTTCTTTTAGAGAAACGATTGATTAAAATTTACAAACCATTAGGATCACATAGCCTGTAAAAAGCAGAAAAGGCAATGGTTTCCCTTTGGCAGTGACCAACAATTTCCATCTGATTCAATGGCATCTCAATTTACAGCCAAAGGACTCTTTACTTATGTACGTGAAGGTTCATCTTAAATTTTAGTCTACGCATATTAACAGTATCATATTTTACCATTTGACTATTCTAAGGCTCCTTATTGAGTATTACAATAAATTGTAATCCAGTCTGAAGTCTAAAAGTTTTTTCTTGTCTTTATTTTCTACAGAATTTTAAATGGCAAGATAACTGATTGCAGCCCTCACGTTTTTAGGAACATCATACTTACAAAATGAGTCCTCATCTTAAATTAGTTGCCCCCAATGTTAAGTCCTGTTCCACAACAATTTCCAGCTGTCATTTCCATCCTGTCCATTCTTCTCATCATATAATACTATTGTTTAATAGGAAAATTAGATTTCTTCTTCTTGGAAGAACTGACAGTACTTAAAACAAAACAGTGATTTAAGAAGTTATACATGAAGGGAATTTAATTAAGGTATTATTACTTGTTGGGCAGTTTAAAAACCTGAGCTGCCTTTATGGCCTTTCTGCCGATTGTATTAGGACCTGTAATAACTAGGTTAATAGCTGTCTACCAAAGATTACTTCCTCAGAGCAAGCTGTCAATATGTCTGCCACTAATCTGAACACAAGCTCCATTTAAAAACCAAAATGGTTCAATAAAATGAACTGAAAACACCCACAGACAATATGCCCTGTTGACAAAGTGGCAGCTGTTACCCCTGTATAAAATCTTGCTGTTCGCTTTATTTAGACTGATAGAACAGGAGTGATTAAAGCTGTGTTGTGAATTAGTCAGAAGAGCTCCCCTGTGCATACAGTCTACATACTCCAGTGTTGCCACAGACATCAGGACCAGGATGTTTAATCTCACACACACATAAAACCTGTCTGCACCTGGCAGTTATTTTTCCAAATTATCAGTGTACACAGTTCTTTCAATAAAAACAAAACAGGGCCTGTACAGTCAAGATGCAAGATTTAGGTTATTTTCGTTTGTCATTATTGTCATATTTTTCTTTGACTTTCCTTTCTTTCCTTTGCAGCACAACGTTTTTTTTTAATACAGTCACATTAGTTTAAGGGAACTTTGTTAAGATGTTACTGCTTGTTGGGCGGTAGCAATAGTTAAGGTATTGTTAGAAAAAGAAGTGGAGGAAACTACACCCCTGTGTAGTTTTTTCCACACAGCAGATGAATACCCTCTCAAAGCACCTCTGTGGCACAGTGCTCGGCTCATCCGCAAGGACAATTTTCCTTCGGAGTTTTCTTCTGGAACACCAGGCTCAGCAGACAACACAGCAACACAAGCTTATCTAACACCTTGTGTGGAGAGCAGGGAGCAGTGGAGTCTTCATGCCACCGAAGACTCAGAAGAGGGCAACTCCCACAAACACACATGCTATTTCAGGGACTAATTTTATTTATGTTCGATTATGCGCGTTTCAACATGTTTACTGTATGTTCTGAGGCTACTGCAAAAGAGTCGTGGTAGCATCAGCAGCTAGTAAACACTGACTGCAATATTTGCTGTTTGCTTTGCACTGATCATTGTGGTGTGTGCATTCAATTAAACCTGCTTTGCTGTCTCATAATTGACATCCTTTCACCTTTAGCAAAGGTCTTATTTATTTGCAACTGTCGCTAAACTAAGATAATGCAATGCAACTATCCTAGAAGGGATGAGTATAAGAAAAAAATTGGAGTGCATTTTAATTGGGTCAGGAAATGTGTCCAACATAACAAAAATGCATTGAAAGCCAGTAATTGCGTGTTATAATTGCCTTTAAATACTTCCTCATTTAAAATTGCACCTGGACATTAATGGAATGTTGATATTGTTTTACTGGCAAAACATCTTCATCACATCTGCAGGGCTACAGTACTAAACAGCCTATAATGAAAGGACCAGTAAAGTTTATGTGAATAAATTATCCGTTTTTTAAAAATAAGACCTTTAATTGAGAAAGAATCCATCTTAAAAATACTGAGATTCTGGCTTTTCTGTCTGAAGATATAAAGAAAAAAATCACAAGAGCCTCGGAATGCCTTTATTAATTGTTCGTTTTATGCCATCAGATTCTTGAAGGACTGAAGTATGTCCTGCCTTAGGATAACAGCATAAAACAGAATTAATAGGAGAGTCATCCTAAAAGGTTTTCTGTCGACACAACCCACCACTTCATTGATTTAACCTCTTGTTTCCCTAGTAACATGATTCTGTCTCCTGAAGTTTGTCACCTAGCAGTAAATAAACAGTGCTACAGAAGGTTCTAAAAATCCTTTTAGATGTTTTTTTTCCCTTTCCTAATATAAAATTTCCCTCAGGCTACTCCATAGCCTGGTATATAGATGTGATACAGGTGCCTAATACTTTGCCCAAATATTGCAGAAACTCACTTCAAGCTTGGTACAGTATGAATTACACAGTGAGGTGTCAAACACTACTGTATGTGCTCAAAGGGAATCTTTTGACAGTAGTGCACATCCTTTCAAGCTTGCATGAATTAGGTTTTGATCGCTGTGCTTAATGCAGTACATCACGCTTTGACTTTTAAAAGGAATGTGTTGTTAAAATAAGCAGCTGTGCACCAGAAAATGATTATGTTACAGATACTAACAATCTTGCTGTTCAGGGTGAGTAACTTGAAGCCATTATGTGGGACATTGTAGTTAAATCCTCCATAATTTGAGTACAAGCCAAAGTAGTTACAATGTTGATATGTAACTCACAGCCAAGCTTTCAGCATGGAGTTCTACAGCATAAGCTGTGTTCCCAGAAAACATCATTATTTTTGAGGAATATTACCTGTGACCTCCTTTGAGCTTATAAAACACAGAACCCTCAAATGTCTTCATCCCACTGCTGCATTGACATAGCATATCTCAACAGTATTTGGAATCACCGAGCACATTTCTGTAACAGCTCACCTGGGCCCCAAGAAACTGTTCGGATTCCCAAATAATAAGTCATAAGGCCTTACCTCCATGTACAAATCCGTGCAGAGTGCAGTCAGATGGTCCGACAAGATGGATCAGGCTGGACTGGCTGAATCCCACAGTATAGGCATCTTAAAAATACACAGTGGGAATTCTACTTACATTTACATATATAAAGATAATTTGGAGATTTCTAAAACATATAGAATCCTCAGTGTTTTTCTAACGCCTGGCTGTGCAGATGCCCTGCCCTGAAAACTACCATAAGAACCCTGCAGAATGTTCCTACCACGTCTCTGAAAGAGGCAAGGATGTAGACTACAGCAGGTTGTAGTATTTATTTAATCTGGGAATTATATTTATTTTTGTTTTGCTTTTTTCAGATATGTGCACACAGCACACAGCAGGAATAGAACATACAAAGTGTCTCACAGGTTGGATGAATGCTGGCAATCAATGGTTTACAGAATCCAGAAAGGAGGAGGTATTTTACTATATATTGAGGGGAGGGATTAAACTGAACAATAAAACCAATGTCACTGTCCTTGAAAATAGGATTCAATATTTTCTGCAGTTGCTTACTTAAACTTTTATTACTAATGGCCTTTGTTCTCCAGCAGAGAATCAATCCCTCTCATGGTTTCTATCGCCTTGAAAACTCAAGACTTATTCTCACCTTTGTTGTAACCTTGCATGGTAAGAAAGAAGGAAAAAAAGAAAAACTTACCTTTTGTTTGCCTGTCTGAGAGGCATAATGAAAAAAAGGAAAAGTCAATAGGCCAGTATAGACAAACTAGATGTATTTTTATCTCAAAAACACGGCGTGCAGAATGAAAAAGTGACTTTTCCCCCACTAAATACTGATGAAGGAATGTATCCAAAGAGCTCGCTGTGTCTGTAGTATTAAGGGTGTTGAATCAAAGGTGAATTGCAGCTAAAAGAAGACTTTCTTTTTTTTTGGTCCAGATTTGAAATGTGAGCAAAAGAGATCCTCATACCATCCATGGGAGAGAAGAATGGAGTACTGTACATGCTTGTCAGAGCCGTCTGCTGTTTTGGACGCTACAAGTCCCACAGTGCCCCAGAGAGGAGTGAACATCAATGGAAGCGGTCGTCCGACTCTCACTAACAGCACCACAAACTCACATGCACAGTACATGACATGCATCACATGCAAGGCAAACCACCTCTTTCTGAATCAAGCTTAACTCATCCCACCGGAGCCCAGACAATTGTGTGCTGCTGTGTAGAGAATTCTGGAGAGAGACGACTAGAGCTGCAGCCCAAACCTGATACAGGCACTGCTGGGCTAATTTGGTATGTCACAAACAAGAGGCCATTCTAACTCATTGGGCTGCTAGTTGCTATCTGATCTGAGTGGTTGAAAGAAACCAGGGCGTCAGCTTCTACAGCCTGGCCCTGCTGGTCTGTCGACAGGAAGGCGTGTTACCTGGACTGGTCACGGGGGTGATGATATCCCCGTTCCTCTCCTTGGTCTCCATCCTCTCCATCTTCTGGGCTTCATATCTCTTCTTCCCCTCTTCCTCTTCCTCCTGGCTGGTGTACTGAGAAACAATAAAACAGACATGCTCATCACTGCTGTAGGGTATTATAGAAGCCAAGCTAAGGAAAAGCTAATTTGTTCAACACAGCAGTGCACACTTACTGTACATCCAGCCAAAGAGTGGAAATCAGGAGCTCAAGCCTGCCTGCAGAAACTTAAGTACCCACTTGGCCCTCAAAACAACTCCTTCCTTACTTCAGCACTTTTGATCACCATTATTGCAGCCTTTTTTAACTACTTTATTCAAACCTTTGTTTCCTAATGTCCATATTTTTATTGGCACTGTTTTTGCTGATCATAGGCAGTGAAGACTGACAAGCTTTCACTAACGTTAGCGTTCAGTGACTCAACGGCTTCATCGTACATGTCCTGATCTCCTGGGACCTGTTTCTGCTCTGAACATCTGAATTGCTTTCAAGGCGTTTGTCTTGTCAGACCTTAATCTTGCTCCCCGTGTGTATTTTGTCTACATATTTCTCAATTTTATTGTGTGACCTTGTGCACACAGCTTTCACAGTTATGCATTATTGATGAGAGAGCTATCGGAAATCAGTCAACTAGACTTAAAAAATGAAATTATATCAGCAGAAGACGGGCAGGCAGACCTTCAATCAGCAAAAATAGGAGCGAATGATCCAGCATGACAAAATGTTGTGCAGGAAAACGTGCAGAGGGCCTAATACTGCCGGCACAGGGGTTGCTGGAAGGAACATTATTCACGGCAACATGTTCTGCAAGCGTGACATCCTTCGCTGTGGCATCTGTAACAGCAGTGTGCCGGCACGCAGTAGGCAGCTCCATCGTTGTGTCCTGGAGTCAGGTTTAACCTTGTTACAGGGAAATGGAGCCCCGGTGAAAAATGCAAAGCAGTGGTACCAGGGAAAACCCAAAAAACCTGCCAGCGTAAAACAAAAATAAGCAGACAAAGGTACTGCAACTCCCACTGACACCTCGCTCTCCGCCTTAAGAGGATTCAGTATTTCTCAACAGCAACATATTGTGTGGGCAGCACCCCTTTCCACCTTTGTCAGAATTCTTCAAGTGGGTGGTGGCTTCCTGCATTGCTTTTGCCTCGCTCTGTTGCGTTAGGCTCCCACTGAGTTAGAGCTGACATATTTTACAGATCCCCTCTCCTGCTTCTCTTAGTGCAGCAGCTCTAGAAGGACACACAAATGCAGTTCAGACATGTTTTGACTGCCTTGTGGGAGAGTAAAATACCAGTGTGACCCTGAACAGACTTGATTTAGAATATCTCATAGCATTTCCTTCCTCTTTAATTAATGAATTTTAATGTGGGATTTTACTACCAGAATGTATACTTCGCCATGATGCTACGTTTGTTTTTTAACAAGGCAGCTTGATGAGCATAATTTATACAGTGGGTGCCCCCAGTAAAAGGCTCTCCTGGTGTGAGGAGCCTGAGCTCTATCATCCAGAGATCAATCAATCATGGGTCATGTCAGTTGCCGGCTTGTGATTGGTGTTTTTCACACAGCAGGTAATGAATGCTTGTGCACAATTGTGATTTCTTTGGTGCCTGCAGCCACACAGTGACATCAGTGAATCACATGACTCACATCCAATCAGAATTAAGACTCACGTCCAATCAGAACTGAGTCTCCCGTATGCTGCTGCAAAGCTTGTAATGTGTCAAATAAAGAGCAGCTTGAGTGGCTGAGCTAGAAGAGCACTTTTCTGCTTCCTTATTCTTGCTGTGTGGGTACAAGGGTCATCACTTGAAAACATCAAAAGAAAACTTTTCAGATCAGAAATCTCAGTTGGCGACTGCAAATGGGGTGGATTAATTTGTAAAAATAAATGATTGCATAGCTTGGCAATGATGAATAAATATATATTTGAAAACTGGGTTACTTGTATTATTATTTCACACACATTGCCTGTTTCTAAATACAGATATCTACCTGCAGTGCTGAGCATGCCAATGAATTGCTCTAACAACCTTAAACTGATGGGAATCCATGCATAATTCACTTGAAAAAAAAAACAACGCAACACATGTCAAAACAAGAGACATCTGTTTTGCTGCAAACCTTGCCATCTAGAATATCAACACGTCCTGCAGCAATCTCTGTGCAGCAAAACAATAATTAGAAGTCTCGTTTCATGTTGCATGTTGATGTATAAAAGCCAGAGATTTCTTTAATTTAACATTTAACTTTTTGGTTTAATGCAACTCTCAAGGTGAAAATGAAATCGTATCATTGCATTTGTTGGAACAAGCATCGCAAAAATACTTTAGTGCATTAGTGAGAGTGAGAATGAGGGTGGATAGCTTCAGTATTGGAAAAAGATTTACTTTAAGTAGCTTATCTGAACATGTAAGCAAACAACTGTATCTAGGTTCCTGATAGAGATGGCAAAAGAATTTGTAAGATATACAAAACTACCTTAATTATGACCTCCCAAACGCCTAAACTCTGCAGTTCTCGATATGATCTGGGTGAGTCTGAATTTCACTTTATCATTTCCCATCTGGTACAATCCACATGCCACTTCCATGAATTTTGGAGACATCAGCTTCCTACAGAACAGCAGAAAGGCATATGGCACTTTGCATTTCCAAACAGAGGCTATCCTGCTCTCCCCCAAAACATCTGGGAATCCCAGAATGCCGCAGTGCAGTTGGCCATGCTGTTGTGTGGAACAAAGATGGACTATAATTTCATTCTGTCTTATACTGTAGCTGGGAGGATGTTAGTACCTAGTGGAGATCAAAGGGTACCTCAATGATAGGCATTAAGGTCTGTAAAGTGCATTGTCAAGCCTTAGACTGAGCATTTATAGCGGTATATTCAATACTACTGTGTATCATTTTCAGCCATTTTTAAAGGCTTTTGGAATACCTTAAAAAATCTAGTGTCATTTATCCAACTATAAGTCTTGAAAGGCTAAAATTGTTGTCATACCATTTTAGTGTAGTGTAGAAAAGTCCTGTATTAACTCTCCTGATACATATATAATTCTTATTATTTCAGTTAATCAAAGTGAAAGAATTTACATAACTTAAAATAATTGATCAAACCTTATCAGCTGTTTCAAATCAAATTCTTGACCTCAGGATGCCTGGTGTTTCTTCTAATAATTCACTGTACTGTGCTGTAGAAGAGCCTCCTATTTTATTTGATCTATAACTGCTTTAATGACTAACCAACTTCTTTTGAGTACTCAACTGAAATTGATGATATTTAACATTGATAAATCCTAGAAGGAGTGCTGCATTACTTGACTGATTAAAGCTAATTGTATGCCTCACAGCAGGACATTATAAATAATACTGTTTTTATCAAAGCAGCCCACTTAAGTTTCTGTTTCTGAGTCACATTTTCAGAGAGAAATGTTACTAGAGTCCCTAAAAAGATATCAGACATTACATTCTTATTACACTCACACAATAGCGAGTCCCAGATGCCCTACATTAAAGGAGATTTAAACTGAAACTGCTGCCTCTTAGGAGTGAGAAGAAGCTTAAAAGACTTTAATGATGAAAGCCTAAAACCTTTCTCCTTCACAACTCAGAAAATGATCTTCTGAATGACATTGCTGGACATCAATTGAGAAATATAGTACACAGAAATTACCCTGCTATGCAACCTAGTCTCAGACTTCATTTATTAAATACTGTATATATGTATAACATGCAATTAATATTAATAGGAGTCACCCAGTCCTACTTGTAAGGTAGACACCTTATGCCAAATGGCTGTCACCATTTGTAACTCTCAGAGATGGCTGCGTCAGTACACAGTTACTGTCATGTCAAGCAGACTGTTGCACAGTGTCACAGTTCTGAGAAACATTCTATGTAAAGTGTACGTTTGTAATTACTTTCAGTTTAGTGATATGTGAAGCATAGCTTTAAGTGTATTTGTCTTCCTTCTATAATGTGAACACAGTTTTTGTATGCAGTGTCTTGAGATGGGATCAATCCTCATGTTTACCCATATGTATTTAGTTTTCATGTTAGATTTATTTAATGAGACCTCCAAAACCATGGATTATTTGCATGTACCATTAGTCACTTGGAACCCAATTTTATAACTGTGAGCTGAGGTTTATTTATGTTTCATACAGCTTCTCTCATCAAGAATTGCTTTTCTTTTTTGGAACATTCAGAGTGAATCAGACATTCAACCTTAAACCAAACCTTTATCTGATAAGAACAACCTTTACCTGTTTTATAAACTTCAAAACTCTGTAAAGGCTCTCTGAAATGCTTTCTGTACCAGCTGGAGATTAGCAACTGTCCCACTTTACCCACTTAATTACTCTGGCCTTTGCAAATATTTCATTTTTATAACATATCAAGACCTTTCCACTTACAGCTTAGAATGCAGACTGGTTAAAAGGCAGACTAGCAAACTGAAACATCTCTACTTCTGTCTACCTACATAGTAAGAGTTAGTTATTGTTCTTTGAGCATAGCAGGTTTGTGTAAGATGTTATTGCACAGAAACTGATTTGAAAGGGAGACTGCTTACCTCTGTAGAAAGCTTGAATAGCTCTGATGGTACAGAAAAACACTCTACTGTTCCAATACATCAAGAACTAATTACAGTCTATTTCATGGGGATTTTTTTAAATTGCAACAGACCAACAACTAATGCTTTTAACTAATAGTCTATTGAATATATAATAACAGGTTTTCTACTTCATGGATTTCTAGTTTTGGATGTTCTTAATTGTGTTTTCTATATACTGTATACAAACACAAAAAAGAAGAAACACCATTCAAGATGTATTTTGTGTGGAGCTCAAATTTGTTTTTTGTTCTGCTTTTAATAATGTATTTTCAAGAAGAATAGAAGAAACCCCAACTTATATCTGTCTTTCAATTGTGGCATGAGAATATGCTTCTCAAAAAGAGTTTTTTAGTCAGTTCATTTCCTTTTGACAAGGAAACTAAATAAAATAATTCAGAATACTGTTGCAGTACCTTGCTGACGTATCATAGGAACGATTAATCACAACTTATTAATATACACACCAGAACCTTTAATAATCTTCATATCACATTTCAGCTCTAAAATAACTGTATCACAAGAGCTGTCTAATGTGTGATAGCACTGTTTTTAAACACGGCAGATACAAGCCATGCATATCTCACATTGAAACAACAGGATCACAGATATGTGTTTTATGGCAAGGAGGACTTGGCTTGAAATTGAACAAAACAAAACTGGGGGATTTACCAAGAATCCAATAGGCATTAAGCTCCTTTAAGAATTTGAGAAATATTCTTTAATATGAATGGGAGATGAAAAACTTCGACAATGGGCAGCATTTCAAAATACACAGAATACTAGATCAGTCCCATTTCAGACAAATAATTTTGGCACAATGAGATTTCTTCAGCAACTGTTCTGTGTAAATCAGGGTTTTAAAGTGGATAGATGGCCCAAGAGATTATTTTTACAAGAGCTCAGAAGTCACCATTGAATTGCATGCATCATATGTATCACATTAACAATTGTATGAATGGTACAGTATGCATGTATTGAAGCTACAATCCCTGGACTGCACACAGGGAAAAAGAGAAAATGTCGCTGTCTCCTCCAGCTCACCTAACTTCTTTGTTTCTCTCACAAACAGACCTAGAGTGAATGACTCCCTGCTGGGTGGCCACTGGTCCATCACAAGGTTACCCTCAGCAACACAGGTACCCATGTTCACAGCTGGGTGAAGTGGAGTACTGGAGGTGAAGTGCTTCGCTCAAGGATACAACAGCAGTGTCCATAGTCAGTGTAATGTTCCAGAGTACTTTGGTGCATTTTAAATGTATTAAACTATTACAATCATATGTAATGGGTTGGTGGCTAAAAATTATAGTGTCATTTACTGATGAATACTGAGAAGACTGCATTTATTGTTGTGTTTGAATGAGTGCACAGGTATTGCAGTATTTTTGCATAGTAACACATTTCTACAGAAGTGGCTCCCTATTGTGAGTATTAATACTGTGAGCTGTTTTCCTTCTGCAGTCTTTTTATGATTTGGTAGCTGGTTTTGTTCAGTTTGTTTCGCAGAGTCAGTCTTATTGCTGTTCGGTGTTCTTCGGAGGAGAAACGCAGTGCTGACAGTGCCAGTCTCTCCTCCTCCAAAGCCTCGCAACCTTTTCAACTTTCTCCATATGATTACTTTTTCAATTTAAGGCAGCAAAAAACATTTTGGGGGAAAGAAATTCCTAAGGCGATATATGTTTGTTGATGTTTGTTGCAAGAATTTTCCATTGCAAAATAAACAAGACCCCGCAATAACTTTTTTTTATAGGAATGCTTTGTTGTTTTAAATCACATGCACAGCTGGGAACAATGAACTAGCTTCAACAGCACCTTTCCATTTTGCTAGGTATTGCCATGACCTTAGCTGGCTCATGACTTACAAAGAATGAAACCTTTATGAGCCTCGCCCATCCAGTTTTGCTTTAACTTGTCTGGTTGCAGCGTGTTTTGTGTGACTGATCAATAAGGACAGTATGGGCTTAGAGAACATTGGATGCCTTTTTGTCGTCGGTTTTAGAATTTCTTTTGGGTTGTTTTGCATTTGGACCCTCCACCAGTTTGGAATAGCCATTTTTTTTTATCCAGTAGCAAACCCTAGGAGTTGCACAGGAGAGATGGGGTCTGTACCTGCCTCCACCAGAGCATGCTCTTGTCAGGCCATTTCCTTAGTTTTCACACTGAGCTGCTGTTTCCAAATAGAGCGCATCAAAGTGCAGCAGCTCTTACTGACAACACTACAAGCCACAGGCTCCTGGCAGTCGGCAAGCTGCTGATGCATAGCAAACCCATTGCGACCTTCTCACACCCACCTAACTCTAGATACACTTAGCTAATTATGTACCACCATCTGGAGAATTCTTATCACAGGCAGATAATGACATGGGCCAGATTGAAGCAGAAAATCCCTGGCTTTCACACAGGTGCCGATGCTGGCTGAGCCACTCGGGAGTCTTGTTTTGAACATCTTTTTGAAATGTATAAAAAAAAAAAAACAACCTCTTTGTGTTTCAAATTGTGCTGATTGTCACCGTTTATCTTCGACCCAATTACAGCACTATGGCATCTATTATATGTGATGTTTGTACGCTCAGTTCTTTCTGCTTTCTCACAAACATGTTTCGTCTGTGTGGGCTCTGTAAATGAAAAGAGCCGGGCTCTGGTAATGTTGTTGCAGGTAATACTTTCTGATAGAAATGGAAAGTGACTGCTTCCTGGGGGGAAAAATTCTAGCAAAACAAAACTACCCCCTAAATCAATGCAGATTGGCCTTCGGTTTGCTGAATTGCTGCAAGAGATTATTAAATCAACAAAGCGTCTCTTTTCTGACAGAACAAAAGCAGCCCTTTTCTCGAACCATACGCACAATAGATACATCGGGATGAATCCTTTGTTGCTTTATATTGGATGCTTCTTTTAAACAAAGTAGTCTGATATACAATCAAATGTGATTAAAATCTCTGTGTAATGACTCATATTCCATAAAACTATTAAATGAAAAAAATGCATGATGTATGATGGTCCACCTGTTTACCTAACCTGTGGAGAGACCCCCACAGGATTTTCTGCTATTATAACAATTGTGAGTGTTATCAATATAGCTTAGCATGGGTGAGAAGAAAAAAAGTTTGCCATTATATGATCTTTAATTCACATTGATCAGAATTGTAAAAAACAGATCAAAGCTCAAGGTAAGCTATACATGAGAAGCTACTGTGCAGTGTTAAAGCATGGTTTACCTACACTTAGCAAATTAATATAATTCACTAGCAATGACTCATTGTCAAGTGTTCCTCATAATTACATTATTTGCTCTTCCAAAAAGGCTACTTTTCACTCCAAAATACAGATCTATAAGGATTAACTGTTAGTTTAAAATGGCTAAGATTTCAGTAGAATATATTCATAGAATTTTGTTTCTACTTAATGAAGGAAAACCATTGAATATAAAAAGTACAACATTTCAAAATGTCTAAGACTTGCACATTTGCCACAGCCAAACAGACGTCACAGTTACAGAGATCCATAAACTCACAAAGAAGCGGTTCTCTAGGGTAAAATCTTAAACAGGGTGACAAGAGAAACTTGACCTACCTCAATTGGCGGGACCTCGATGATTTTGTCAACGTTTTGCAATGAGAAGGGCACATACCACAGCGTTGCCTTGTTAGTTACTTTTTTTACTCCTAAAAGAGGAAAAAAAATCACTGTATCTCAATATCTCATTAGATATCGGCGGCATCTAGGTAGGCAAAAATACATGCACATAAAACATGTGTGAACATACAGTACTGTATGTATTGAGCTTCCTGAACTGGAAATACAGTCTACAGAATATTATTTTTACCACAAAGTGATTCGGAATGCAACATCATTATTGAAATATAAAGAAAAACTTAAGTAGCATCATATATACCAGTGAAGACACCCCGTTAACACCAGTGAGTAAGCAGTTATGCGGTTGGACAGACACACATCTGAAAGGCCTCACTCTAACTAAACATTGCAAATGAAGTACTTTTTGAGCACGCTTCTCCACATCAATCTTCACAAGAGGCTGCTTGATCAAATTGACAAAATAAACTGATTTATTAAAATTAAATCAGTGTATAAAGTGATTACAGAATCAGTGGAGTGAATCTAAATTAGTCCCATGGTGCAGCAGCTAATACGTTCAGGCAACACTGATAGCGTTACACCTTATCAAGCTGCATGTCTTCATTGGTAACACCCGTGAGGCGCTTTCTATGGTGCTCAGATGTGTCTGTTAACTGCTATCTTTCTCTTTGCAAATGTGGGATCAATTTTATCGGAGGAAAGATGTAAAAAGAATGTTTCATGCTATAAACAGTTCAGGTCTATAGTCAGAAAGGATGTACAGTATGATGTGCAGATTCTTTAACATTGCTCTATGTAGAAGGTAGATTTCGGACTCTTTGCTAAATGTGTTATTACACTTATCAACCAATACAAAATAAAAAGGCTGGGATTTCTGGCTTTGTGATTGGCTTGTCGGTATCTGTATCTCTGTATAGATTTCTCATTTTGTTTCATACTCTTCCAATCTCCCTGGCATTGGCTTGTAGGGTTCTGATAACTCAGTCATTCAAAGCCTGGACATCTTATCTTTGAAAAGGTCAGTCAGAGTCAATACTCCCTCCACTAGCGTGGTTTAGGTAGGAGAGGAGCAATATATTGGAGCAGATTAATTTTAGATATTCCTGCTGGGGAAGATTTCACCTGTGCATTGAAGGTTTGGAGAGTGAGTACCATCTCAGTGTCAAGAATCAAGATAGGAATTTATCGATCTCAAAACAAGACAACAAAATCTATTGCACTATGCGGTGAATATCCACACATTTAGATTCTACAGAGCACTTTTCCATATTGTACTTATCATGTCCTGGCCTGTTAGGAATCTGTTCTGTGGTTCACTGTTCAATTCAGTCACTGCAACATGACAGCAGAACTGAAGGTTAATCATGGGAAAAAAACTGAAAACTGCAAATTCAACTATTCGTTACAAATTTATTAATGGGTGCTTCAGTTCAGTATCGGGGAATGGCTGATGTGATGAGCCTCAAAAATAAACTGCCATTTTTTTTTCTGGAGAAGTTCCTGCACAGACGACACCGACCACAAATATCGACAACAATCCTACGGATTTTAGAGCAGAAGTTATTAATTGCAGTGGCTGATATATTGATATGGGTTTTTTTTTTCTTTTCCTCTGCTGCAGCTGCATTTTTAAACAAAGGAGATAATGAGGTATACAATTTACAGGAGCCGTTGTGAGCGAGAGTGATTCTGACAGGCTGCTTTTGGGAATAACATTTGCATTTTACACCAAGCCAAAACTGTCCTGACAGCCCAGTTGCCATGACAACAGCACACGGAGTCTTCTGTGGTCTAGAGCATGGCTAGAGTGTTTTTCATCTAATTGCATTCAACCACAGATCCTCTGAAATTTTGAGCCACAGAGAAATGTGTATTTACATTATCTGGCATTCTGCGATGGAGGTCTAAAAATAGCACCTGTCAGCTTTTCTTATACATGCTCTGGTGGGGAAAACAAAATGACGCCCCATGCACTACCACAACATAAGCTTTTGGAAAACTCTCCTGAAAGTCATTCGTTATTCACACGATTTTTCATCTCAAGTGGAGCAAAAAGAAAACAATAATACAAATCTGACGGATTAGATTTGAAATAATTCATTAAGAGACGTGGTGCTCAGCTTGTACAGTATTGCACACAGTCTGTTGAGGACTAAGCCATTTTAAGATCTGAGGCAGACTGGGCTGGATTTCAAAGTCTTTCATGTGTGACTCATTTCATTAGCTCCAGAACCCTGTGTGATTTTTTTTTTTATTCTGCATTTTTGCATTCAGTTCTAGTCCTTCCAAAAACAAATTAATCCTATCTGTGGAACCAAACCCCAAAATAAGCACAATCACCAGCCTCCCAAGTGCGTTTGCAGAAACATGTAGAATTATTGGTGACATTATATTTTGTATACTCTACAGGACACATACCATTTAGTAGCTCTTAAAGCTTTTATTAGTGTGGAAATACTAGTTCACAGTCTTTCCTCTAAACAAAATGAGCATCCAGCCACAGAGGTAACACAACTGTATCAAAAAACCAACACAAAGGCTATACAAACAATCCACCTCTCTCTGGTTGTTTGGCTTCATGCTTTGTGCGTAGACCCAGTGCACACAATTATACAGTATAAAAGGTTAATGTTTACCTGACAGATATAAAGAAATATTTTGGGAAACTGGAGAAATCCTTACGTTCAAGGGCACTCACTGATGAACCTAAGGGCTTATACATTGTACTAGTAGAGGGCATTGTTTTTATCTTGCTTTGGATGCTTGTTTGGTTTTCAGTGACTTATTGTTCCCAGAACGTTGTTATGCCATTTTTTTAACTCAATTTCAGTGATGTGCTCTTGTATTTGTTCCTAACACTTTAATCAAGAGTCTGGCTTAATTTCAAAGCAGAAGTATCTTTTGATTTAATTTTGTCTTTGGATCTTTGCTTCATTGTCAAGCCTGAAGTTCAATTCGTCCACAATTTTTAATTTTTTATTATAAAAGCATGGCAAGTTATCTCCTGCCATTGATCCGCTTTCAGATGTATCAGATGAGTACAAATGTAGTAGTAATGTACTTCCAATGCTCCAACGTCAACCCAGTAAACTGCTTCAGCATCAACAGTGAAACACGAACCTGAGGTTCCAACTGAAAACTACACGGATGCACATTTAAATCTGAAAACAGGAGGCACTTCTTCATATAAAGGGATATGTGATAATGATCAAGCTATGTTGTTAATGTTGAAACCCTGGCTTCTTTAAAGAAATTGATTTCTTTCTTCACTACGAACTTCCTTGTGGGCTAGCTGGGCTGAATGGCCTTCTCGTTTGTCATCTTTGACATGTTCTTAAGCATTTCCTCATCTTATTTTTTGATGCATGGTGATAACAGATAATAATTGTTCAGGGATTAAAACAGTATTTCAATGGAACAATCCAGTACACTCAGGAGTTGCAGTTTCCTAATCTGAACTCTGCTTCTAACTCAATCTAAGTAAGACTTTTGGCACAAACAATCTACAGGTAACTCAGCTCAGGGAAAGAATCTTTTGATTGTAGGAGAATCTCTCACAAACGGGCATACAAACAATCCTGCTTGCACTGTCCAGCATACAGATTTGCTAGCATTTTGATCATGATAGGATCATTGTTGGTTATCAGCCTCGTCAGGAAATGAAACCTTCCAACTGGATAAGGTAAAAAAATATACTGAGCATTTTTCTTTTAATTTAAAATGCATGGAGCCTGATTGTGAAATAATGGGATTGTAATCACTCTGGAAGACTGTGGAACCTGACTGCATTTTCATTTTCCTGCCTCTTCCTCTTCCCTCTTTCTGCTAAACATCACTACCTTTGCAGGATTGTCTCTTCTTTACTCTTTCTGCAGCTGCCCAGAATGCTAAGGGCCCACGTGAACCATCCAAAGTCAAGGGCAGAACTGCAGTTCTTGCCTGTATAGGCACCAAACATTTTAAGTGGTGAAAGTAACTTCCTAAAATCTGGAAATCCACAAAAATATTCCTTGCTAAAATCCTTCAGTCTATCAACCATTAAAATGTGCTCTTATGAAATAAAAGAAACGTTAGCCAGAACATTAATTATCTCCCTAAACAATTACATATACTGCTTTTTTTAACAGTTCCTGGCTTTGTGACTGACACAATGCAGCTGCCTAAAGGGACAGCTTTCTTTACCTCCTCCTTTCTCCCCGAGGCAGGAGAGCTGTCTCTCAGAGCTGGGAATGAGGAGGTCCAGTCGGTCTTCCCTGCAGAAATACTCTTCTGCCCCACTGCACACAGGAGCCCTCCGCCTCCCACCCTCTGCCTCCTCAGGGGAGCTGGACTGAGACTCTGATACACATCCTCCTCCTCCGGAGGAGTTGCAGGGCTTTTGGCCCTGGTGATGAGATCTGGCCTGACTGCATCCGATCAACCGACCAACCTGACAGAGGATAGCCTACCCTGATTGCAGCCCATCTCACCATATCCCACCTGCAGATCAGTGGATCGGTGGTCTTGCTAACAACAAGGTCTTGAAGTCTTGCTCTTCATCCAGGGTGTGTCTGTAGGAAGCTGGTGTCACAGGCTGATCTCAGCTTTCCACAGTCACACCACATCTTGATGTTACAATTCTAGTGCTAATTCTGCACCTTCAGTGCTACCAGGACTAGTCACAGATGGGTTTTTACCTCATCTTTTGTTATGTTTTGGGAATGTTGGCTGGCATTAATTACAATTCTTCACATCTGCACTAATTGGTATCAATTCTGTTTTGTCTCTTTTCTCAGACTAGTGCAGGTAAGACGTTTTCATTCTAAAGAAAACAAAAGCGATTACACAAGAGCTATGACTCCGGTTGCCAGTATTACTGGAAGAAGAGAGAGAATGTATTATATTTGTGGAGAGCGAGCAGAGTGCAGAAAAGAAGGTTATATTGAACACATCCCAGGAGTTTGGGCTGTTTGAGGAGGTGTGAAAAATTGCTGTGATCCTGCTCATTGACTAAAGGCAAACACAGATAATGATAAAACACCGGGGCAATGGCTGCCTGGATAGGAAGGACAGAAAGGCAGCTGAAGAA